TGTTGGGGCTCTTACTTACACAGTTACTTTCTCCTACAAAAAATTTAAGTGCATACTTCCATGTTTTGGTGCCTTATGTAAGTGTCTGCTTTGTGTGAAACAAGGCATTGCTGGCCACAGGACTTGTGAGCGGCAGGTCGGAATTCCTGTGTCTTGTGAAATCAAGCGCTGAGGAGAACTTGCCCAGGTGCCAAGGTGGTGAAGCCACTTCTTTGCAGAACAACCTTCTGCTTCCAGATGAACTTCTCATCCCAGGGCTTGTTGCTGATCAGGGATGATAGAAATAGGCCGAAACTCCTAGAGCAGAGGAAAGGTTTGAGTGATCCAGGCTCCTAGCATGGAAGATACTGGCTTGTTTGGTTAGCTTTTCAGTAATTCAAATCGCAGAGATGATCTGTAATAGGATAGATGACACTAACTGCATCTGACCATCTTAATATATTCCAGATGCTTATCTTCACAAATATTGTTAGTTTGCAGTAGGGACTTTGTGCACAGGTAGCAAGATGAAGAAAAGTCTGTCTTTGAATTTCAAAACTTACTTTGTTTTTGTGTCCTTTTGTGTTATGTGACTCATGACACTACACTTTGTATGTCCTGCGTAGCCCTGAACTGATAGTGAAATTAATAGCTAGCTGGGTGGTGGTAGAAGGGTGCCAGTCCTTGCCAGTCCCTTGAAGTGGAACTTCAGTAAGCAATTTTTAAACTAATTTGACTTCCCTAGAATCCAGAAACTCATTTGCCAATTCAGGAAGAGGTGATGTTGCCTTGTCCTGCCATACTGAGTGCTATAACTATCACAAGAAGATGTGTAGATGCTTCAAACCTGCTTGATGATAAGAAAAGCAACTGTTTCACTACCATTTTCCTTTAGAACAGTGTTTACCCTTAGAATAGGTCTTTTCCACACAGGTGTTTGGCCTGTTCATAGAGTGATAACTGCAATTATAAGTGGGGTGTATGGAAAGAGCACGCTGCTCACCTGGAAGTCAGAAGATCGGCTTCCATTCCTGGTTGTTGCCTGTTTGCTTTGTGACCTGCAAGTCATCTCCCGCTATGTCTGTTTTGCCTGTTTTCTAGATGGCAACCTATTCAGCAGAGGAAATGCTTCTTCTGTGCAAGGTTTGGGCTCAAGTTGCTCAGGGAAAAAAAATTGCAGCTGGTTGAGAAGTCAGTCGCTAATTTTTGCTAACCAAATTGTAGCTGAGATAAATTTGCCTGAAGAGTACTTTCCTTTATTGAAAATGACACTATAGCTTTACATGCAATGAATTTTAAACCATGTAAAAACTTTAAAGTGCTCATGCTAGCTAAGCTTTTCCTATTTTAAATGTTCTTGAAGCTGCTTCAAAGCAGCAGCTTTGCTGCTTTAGGGAAAAGAGCTTTAACTCTAGATACTGCATAAATTTACTAGTGACTGTCAGATTTTCTTTGACCTGTCTCTGTAACATAGTTTATAAGGGAGAGATCCTTCAGTTAATTGATGGAATAACCTTATACCTCCAACTTGAGGCTATTGCTAAAGATGGTTTGCTTACTTGGATGCACTGTTTGACGTAGCCTATGGCTTGAGTTGATAAAGCATTTCAATTCAGTCTCATAAGGTTTTGTTTCTACTAGTAGTGGCATTGAGACTGAAATAAAGGAGGTGAAATTATGACCCTACTGAAGTCATTAGCAAAGTTGCCATTGACTGAAGTAAGGCTAGGATCTCAGCCAAGGGTTTTAGTTGTTTAATTTACGGTAACATATTAATTGAGTTGTATTAAAACAAGGTTTTGAAAAAGTTAATCTTTAGCTTCATGATACCATCTCCATTCCATAAATATTATACATAGTGTTACTAAAAGTTTACCTTTTTTGGGAGGGTTGATAGAGATAGAAGATTTTAATTTATTTTTATAATCTGTGTGTTTGCACTCCTGGGAAAGAACTAAAGTACGCAGATGTCATTATTTCTATAAATGAAAAGGACTTTATCCTAAATCTTCTAATTCTTTTATAGTATATGGCAGCAGAGCTATCTAACACCGTATCCTGCAGGAAATATTTGGCATACTTGTAAGCTCCAGGGAGAGGAGAACTAGGATGATAACATCCATTAGTGTTGCTTTTGAATGAGAACTTGCATAAAGACTTTCTCTAAAAAACCCCACTATTAGATTTAAAGGCTTTTTAGCAAAAGGAATGTGTTGCAAGCTTTTGTCCTTCCTGTGCTGTATGAAGCTTTACGCCAGAAAAGCTTGTCCATTAGTACACTTTTCTAAAACTGTGTGCTGCCCTTTTAGAAAGTCGACATCTGGACCATATTTATTGTACTATTTTCTCTTCACTGGATGTGTCAGAGTAGATTTTCCTCCTTTAAAATTTAATAAACTTTATTTCTGTAATTTGACAGGAAAGATTATTTACCTAGTTTTAAAGGCATGGTTTATAATGCGTTCCCAAGCTCTGATGACAATAAGAACAAATTGTATTGTTTTAAAATGTAAATATATATTTTTCTGTACTTTTCTTACTTCTCTTACCTGCTGGAATAGTTTTAGCATTAAGCGTATTTTAATACACATCTAGAAACAGGCAAGACTGCTTTTATTATTGCTTATAGTCATGAATTATGTTAATGTAAACACTGCAGTAAAAGGGAAGCTGGAAATAAAGACTTGGGAAGCAAGAATTGGCATCTGAGGTCTTTTTTTTCTGCTTATCAATCTTCGCATTTGTCTTGTATGTGGTGACTCTGAGCCGGGTAGAAATGGGATTTCTCATTAAGAGTCAACGTGTATTGTTCCACTTGTAGCAGTCCCAAAGTACACCCAGTTTCTGTGTTGCATATTGATGGTATCTTGGCAAAAGGAAACCCAGTTATCCATTAGCTAATTCTCAGAGTATTTTTGTAACCAGCTCGTCAGGTAATACCTTCCAAGTTTTTTCATGCAATGAGCAAAGCTAGCATAGTCAACAAGCTTCAAGGGAACTACTCTCTCTATCTCTGGAAAGTTTTGAGTAATTGAGTACAGTGATTTCTAATCTTTCATATTCTGTATTATTTTCCAATGATGTTTGTCTTGTTGTGAGGAAAAACGGAACAAAAATGGTTTTAGACAGGTTGATCTAGTTGCTTCCAAGAAGCAGATGCCATCAATAAAATTGGGTGCATTGGTTAACTCTCTGGTATTGCAGGCCACAGTTTGGTAACTGAGGCTGTGACAAATATCCCACAGGTTATCTGCAGAATCATTGTGTTCAGTGTTTTCAGTTAAAAGTTTTCTACCGCAAAACCTAGGGGCTGATACAGTTCTCTCAGGTCAAACAGATGAGCTGTTTCACCTGAAGCTTGTACGTAGCTCTTGTAGGCTACTTTTCTGTGATGAGTCTGCTAAGCTGCTGTGAGTGAGCTTCTTCAGTCCCCATTACTTCTTGCTTATGGATGGAGAAATGCACATACTCCCATCTCTTAGCAAGAGGTAACCTCTGCTAGTGCAGTTGCCCTGTGGGGTTTCCATGATTTAAGAGGATTGGAAGGTAAGAAGAAATGAGATTGTTTTAGAGTCCGTTCTCTTTGAAAATCTGGGGTAATATCCTTTCTGTATAGGCAAAGTTAAAATTTTAAAGTGCTATATTGTCTCATTTTTGCAGGTGTTAAGGGTAATGTGAGGATAGGGGTGCTTCTAAGCTGCCTATCACATCAAGAAGTGCAGGTCTGAAGGTACTAAATACCTAAGTAAATGCAGACTAGCTACAAAACTGGGGTCTGCAGCATGGTGGAGGAAGGTATTTATGAAGACTGCAAAAGAATGTGCTTAATTTCCCCCTGGTAAATTAACATTTCCATTATAAGTATCTTAGCTGAGAAATATGCAAGCACACAAAATGTGTACTTGTCATTCTTACAAAGTAGTTGGCTTCCAAAGTTTAATTTCTGAACAACTGTTGAATGACAGAAGTACTTTCACAAAAAAAAACTTTCCATGCAAATCCCCATAATACAATCCTTTTTAGCTTCACACCGCTTCAGAGTTGCTAATGGCAGTCACTGACTCACTTGAAATGGGATCTTTCTCCAGTAGTTTGCTGCCATTAAATCATGGCTAAGCTAGACCTGGTAATCCCTTTGATATGTGGATTTATCTGAAGACCAGACCTAGGTTTAAAAAAAAAAAAAAAAGAAGAGGTGTAGAGCTGTAGTAACATCATTTGTGATGTGATGTGAACTTGGTCACATTTCCTGCCTAGAATATCCCATATGTAAACCTTGCAATAAATTCTGTCTAAACATGTTCTGCTTTAAATCTGCCTCTGACTTTGCCAATGCACATTTCATATTTATCTTTATTGATCTGCGTACTGTATCACTCCGCACTAGTAAATTAATTTCTTAATGAATTCATGTAGCCCCGTGGCCATAAATATATTTTTAAACTAGCTAAGAGTCTGTGATGAGCAGTGCAAAGAATCTGTTTGTTTAAAATGTGTTTTACTGTACTTTGAAACTGGCTTCTAAAGATACTGAATGTTTCCATCAGCTTGGTAGTTGTCATAACCAGCTCCTGCAATATAAAATATATTAAAATGATGCTAAATATAAAAGTGTGTGTGTGTGTGTGTATATATATCATGATTTAAAAAAAAAAAAAAAAATGTATCTGCACTCTGGAAAAATTCTGTCTCTGGCCTTGTGAGCAAGGCAGAGGACAAGTCTGTTTCCTGTTACTTAGGGTAACAAAGGAATTCAGGCATATAGTCAAAAGCTTTTAATCAAACTAATGTTACGCTTTGTATCAACATCTTAATGCTAAGGAAATCTTTAGGATGAAGAAAGTATTTCAAACAAATACCTTGTAGTTCCCTGCAACACCAGTGCTTTTGGTTTTAGATGGTTAATGAAGGTCTGTTGTGTAGTCAAAGCCATAAATGGAATTAAATGAGGTTGCTATAAACAAACAATTGATAAGTTGTTGAAAATTAATTTTGAGGAAAATGTCTGAAATGTTTTGCAGAGGTGAATCTGGTGCCGGGAAGACTGAAAACACTAAGAAGGTTATTCAATACCTTGCTCATGTTGCTTCCTCCCATAAAGGAAGAAAGGACCATAATATTCCTGTAAGTTGGGGTATTTTCTCATTTGTTTATTACTCTTTTTGAAAGCTACCATCTTTGCATCAAAAAAACCCACAACTTTTTTATTAAAGATAAGCTGTAACGTAATCCACATAATTTTGTCTCAACCATTATTTGGTCTTTAGTAGTGGCTGAAATGAGCAGTTACATCAAAATTTCCAGTTAATGTTAGCTGTTTAACTTCTGTTGTGAAATTACAGGCTTTATGCAAACATTGTAACTAGAAACAGTATCAAAGCTTTCTGGTGCAGTAAACCCTAGTGTTCAAAAAAAATCTAATTAACTCGGGCAATTCTTAGTGAATTTAGTTCCCACTAGTTGCAGTTTTCAGTACTATATTTGTGAATAAGCTTTCTGTTCTTTCAAAAATTAACTTGTAGATGGGAAAAATCATCAAGCTTAAACTGCTGTAGACTTGCTATATCTAGAAGTCAGCAGCTAATAAAAAGCTCAGATTTTATTACATTACAAACAGTATACACTTTTATATCAGAATCTTGAGTTTTTCAGTAACTTGTCACTGACTCTGATTTATGTAGAACTTTCCTCATATTTACTGCCAGACTGATTTTTTTTTTAGCAATTCTTTGCTTTAAAAAATATGAATGGATTTGAATATCTGTTGCTATGAGCACTTGGATTTCTTTGCAGTGAAGTGTTAGTTCAACTTTGCTATAAGCAAGTGGCTTGCTGTAATCAATACTGCCGTACGCCTGCTTTTCTCTAGTAGTACCGCAGGGGTGTCTGGTGGTTGGAAGCTTTCAAACTATATCATCTGACTTAGCAGCAACAATTTCTGTAATTTCTAGTGCATGGCACTTAATGTTAAGACATTCTTGAATGTGTCAAGACTCAAACTCCTGGAAAAACGGGAGATGAGTTTTGACCAATCTGTGAAGAAAAGAAAGGCAAGGATTTGAAGTGGGAGAGGAGGAAAGATTGCTCTGCAGGTAGATTTGGAGAAATCTAGTTAAGTGTATGGGGAAACTTGGGTCTTTGCTGTAATCAAGAGCAAATAATGTGACCCTGTGTGTTGATACTTATTCAAACTGTTGCTGGTTTACCACACAGAAAAGATCAAAATTAGTCTAAGTATTTATCATGCAGTTTGAGTGTGCTGCAGGTTGTGTCCAGCTGCACAGTTACAGGCCTTAGAAGGAAGTTTCTTATGATTGGAGTGTCAGCAGTATTAGGTGTATTCTTTATGGCATTGTCATGTTGGAGAATACGTGGCTCTGGGGAACACTGTTTAGAATGTCATCCATCAGACTTGGTTTTCTGTGTAGATTCTGATTTATCGATATTCTTGGGTTTACCACTGTGCAGCCTTGAACAAAACCAGCTTTTTTTTTTTCCAATTTCTACAGGAGTAAAATTGCCTACAGCTTTTTGCGGGAGGAGGGAATTATGCAGAGAAAGGAATTGTGCAGGGTTTGTACCAAGTACTTCTAAATATACTATTGACAACTTAGAATACCTCAGGTTGAAAGACTTATGGAAGCCTCTTGTCCAGCCTCCTTTCAAAACGTGCCTTCCTTCAAAGTTAGATTACATTGCCCAAGACCTTGTAAAGCTCCGTTTTGAAAATCTTGAGGGATGGAGATTATGCAACCTCTCTGCAAACCTGTTCCAGTGCTTAACCACTTGAAGCCTTATTTTTGATTGTTTAAAAAGTACTCCATGTTTGTTTGGCCTTTCTCATGCTGTGCTTCCATAAGCACTTTATGCCAGTACCTCTGCTAAAAGAACTACGCCTTTTTGAGCTTTGTCATCGTAACAATTCCTGTGGCCACCCACTGGGCTTGGAGACTAATGCAGGCTCAGACTACTGTTCTTAAAGTCCATCTGGCCTTAAACAAAACGAGTTTCCTCCATTGTTTATTGTGTGGCTGCATGACTGGTGTGCAGTGAAGGCACAGAAAAGAAAGGAGAAAGCTGGGGTGGAAGATGTCTGTGAAGGGAAGAATGAGTTGCCCTTTTTCATGCAGTGTTGGCTAATTCCATTTAAATCGCTGATTGAACTGCAATTTAATTCTCTACTTACCAGTGTGACCAAATGGGGTGGTGGTGGTCATCTCAAAAGAGTTTTGAAGATGGTTGTTGTAATCGGCTGCTTCATGAACCATTGATGACTATCATGGTGAGAGGTGGTAGGTGCCCCATCCCTGGGAACATTCAAGGTCAGGTTGGATGGGGCTCTGAGCAACCTGATCTGGTTGAAGATGTCCCTGCTTACGGCAGGGGGGGTGGACTAGATGAGCTTTAATGGTCACTTCCAACCCAAACTATTCTATGATTCTATGATGAAGACAGGAAAAGTTTTTATTCTTTGTAAAACATAGTTTAGGCACAGTAAAAAGAATAGGGTCGTGTCCTGAATAGAAGTTTGATACTTTGATCGTGCACTTCATTCAATGCAGTACCATAGTAAGCACTGAATTAAGCATATGTTTATGAAAAATGCAGAATGTTTGTGTAACCAAAACAGTTTTGAAAATACGAATGAGTCTCTCTTGTTCTGTAACAATTCATTTTTATTTATATATTGCAAACGAAGATTGTCTAACCTACACACCTAATATTCAAAAGTTAGGAAGTGTCAGAATTGGGTTTACATATGCAGGCCTAACTTGTTCCTGTTTACATAGTCTTTAGAAAACTGCAGAGGGCTGGTGGTGATCCATAGTACCCATCTGTGGCATTATCCTGTGCACAGAGAAGATACTAAATAGGCTTGTTAAATAGACTGCTAGTCATAGAATTATTTTTATCCATCCTGTTACAAATAATTATCAGTGACATGCATATTACTGAGACTGTTCTGAATGCTGTATGGATTTTTTTATGAAGCAATTTGTATGCTGATGAGTGAATAATTATCTTCCCAACACTTCCCAACTGAAGTCTAGGGTTAACTTTGTCTGTTTTGCCCGACAAAGTGCTGTAAGAGTATTACAAACAAATGTAGCCCCCAGTTTGACACCTCAGGCCATGGCCAGAGTAGCACTGATGTTCTGCCATGCCACAGATGCTCACCAAGTACATTTTCCAGCAGCACTGATTGTGAAATGCTCGGCTTATGCGAGGAGCATCACGTAGAAGCTCTACCCATCCCTTGGGCATCCTCATCACGTTTGGCATTCAGCTGCTTGTCCATGAGACTTTTCTTTCCCAACTGCCCTCTTTCCTAATAGCTAGTGACTGTGCGCCTACAGATGAGACCTGCATAGCCCTTGGCATGTTATCCTCAGACAGGGGTCCTGTGGGAAAAGGAGTCAATAACACATTGTAACCACAGAGGGTGGAATTACAGTGCTGAGCAACCTTAATACTAGCATTTCCTAATTTTTGAGTGTTTGAATCTGTAGCCGCACTGTCTTATGTCCTGTTTCGTCCCAAGGAATGTTAAAGGTATTGTCTTGGGCACTGTGCTAGGACGTGTGAGTAGGTGGTGATGGTAAAAGTGTAGAAGAGAAGCTTTAGTAATTGTGGGACTTGGCAGAGCTAGGTGAGACTAAGGTGTAGTCCCTTAAATTAGGAATAGAGACTGGGCTTTCCAGAGTCAAGTAATAGAGGGGAAGGAGAAGTACTTGGCAATGAGCTATAAACATAGGCTCATCTAAAGACTGATGAAGGTGAGCCTGAATCCTTGTCTGTAGTGTGCTTGGTTGAGAGTCAGAACTGCCACATACAGTCCTAGTCAGTGGGTAGCAAGGGAGAGAAGATGGAAGATATTTGTTGTAAATAACTGAAAGCTTTAGCTTAACAACCAACAAATTTGAGCTCTACAGAATTTTGGGGGGGGCTGGTAGTGTTAAAATCTTTGCCAATAAATCTGAATAATTTGCCTGCACCAAGCATATTGTGGTTTATTCAGTTGTTAACTGTGCCATGCATGCACTAGCTTTATAAAGGCAACCATTGTGCTTTAGCTTGGGCATCTCAGACCAAAGGTGACCCACATTGGTATCTGGTCAGCTATCCCATGCTCCTAGGCCACATATAGGAGACTCACCTTCGCTTTCAATTATTCTTCTGTAGGCTCAGGAGGTGTGGAGAAAACGATATTTAGAATAAAAGGATAGGAAGAGAACAAGGACAGGTAACTGATGAGCATGGGGAGGAGGCTGATGTGTCCAGAGAGGGTTTTGGACAGATTAAGCAAAGAGGGTAGGGAGGAAAATGAGACTTCTAAACTGCTTAGCTTTGTGGCTTATCACTCCCATATGCACTAAGTGAGATGGGAAAGAGAAAAAATTAAATTGTGTTGTTAATGCATGTGTTAGAGCTGCTTTAATATGGTTAAGTAGTGAGTCTTAATTCTGACTCTCGGGTTCTGCTTTAGTTTACAAACTTTGTGGGTTTGGATGGGGAGGGAAGTCAGTGCAAAATATAGAAATAATTAAAAAACATTGCATACATGGCTTTCCAAAAGAAGGAAAAGTCCTGGTTGTCACTTAGTGACCAGGGACTGCCATGAAACTTGCATGTTCTAAGGCTGCATGAGGTTGGGGGATACTCTCAGCTGTACTTGTAGACTATGGACATACCTGGATCCTGTTCATGATTCAAATACATGAAATCAGCAGGTGTTTTCAATCATGGTAGTATGTGAAGCAGTTAAGTTCTATAAATAACTGCATCCATCCACCACTACTGTTTCCACTTCCAGTCATCCTGGTACTATGACTTCTGGTTCAGATGAACAGAATTAGTCTTTTATTCATTTCCCCTCTCCCCAAAGCCTTCCCATCCCAAACTCCCTTTATTTTCACTAAAATCCAGTTTTCATGGTGGTGCCTTTTTAAGCTAGTTACTAGTACTTTCAGGTTAATGATTGCTTTCAGTGACTGCATTTGCCTTTGTAGCTGGAATGCTAAATTGCTTAATTTGTTTTATTAATTTCAAGAGAAACAGAATTGGTTTTGAAGTACAAGATCTTGGGTAGGCTTGCTCAGACTGAAGCTCCCCTTAGTGAGGAT